AATTAGATAATGGTGCTTCTTTTAATGATGTGTCTCCACCTCTAGTTGAGAAGTTTGATTATGGTGTTGGTGTGCCTCTGAATCAAGTACAACTAATACTTATTAGTGTTTATTTAAAAGACAACAGAATAAAGATAAATATCATGCACCAATTTCTTCGTCATCTGGTTCTACCCACATGATCTTGATCTTACTCATTAGTCTTTGCAAAAATAATCGTCAGTGCATTTTTCTAAAAAATCTACTTACCACATTACTAATTTTATTTTATATGATAACTTTTCTCCTTCGTCTAGCTATTTAATTACCTCTATAAATTCAATTTTCACACCCAAGACAGCTAATGAGGATTTGAATCACCCTGGTTGGTACAATGCAATGTTTGAGGAGATAAACGCTCTCGATGAAAATCATACTTACGATCATGTGGATTTACCCAAAGAAAAAAAGGTCATGGAATGCAAATGAGTATTTGCAGTCAAAGTTAATTCAGATGGCTCTGTGACAAGACTTAAAGGCAGACTTGTAGCAAAATATTATGCTCAAACTTGTGGAGTGAATTATTCTGAGACTCTCTCCAATAGCCAATTTTACATATGTCCATTTTATTTATCTCTATTATGGCATCTCGAAACTAGCTCTTACATTAGTTGGATATCAAGAATGTATTCTTTTTTTACGATCATATAAAGAAATTTATATAGAGCAACCACCTGAGTTTGTTGTTTAAGGAAAGTAGGAGAAAGTGTATCATTTAAAGAAATATTTTTAAAGTAAAGATCCCGTGCATGGTTTGACAAATTTAGTGAAGTAGTTTTGGAATTTGGACTGAAAAAGAGCAAGTTTAATCACTCGGTATTCTACAGGTAATCAACAGATGGCATTATACTTATTTTTATTTATGTTGATGATATTATCATTATAAGAGATGATTGTGCAGGAATATCTTCTCTCAAATTATTCTTACATATCAAGTGTTTTGTCTTAAAAGAAACATGTACTTGATCTACTTGCAGAAATCAAAAAGTTAGGAGTCAAGCCATATAACACATCAATTGTGCCAAATATATATCTTATAAAATATGATGATGATCCCTTTGATGATTCAGAAAAGAACAAGCAATTAGTTAGAAGATTGAACTATCTCGCAGTGAATCGTCTAGATATTGCATATGTTGTTAATGTTGTTAATCAATTTATGTCTACACCTACAGTCAAGCATTGGGAGGCTCTGGAATATATCTTTTGCTACTTAAAAGGAGCTTCGGGACTTAGTATATTGTTTAGCAATCATAGCCACACATACATTGAACACTTTGCAAATGTTGATTGGGTTGAATCTAAAATTGACAGAAGGTCCACTATGGTCTATTGAATTCTTGTCGATGGAAACTTGGTATCATGGATAACTAAGAAGCAGGTTGTTATGTCTCAGTCTAGTGCAGAATCTGAGTACAGATCTATGGACCAGTCCACATGTGAAATCTTATGGACACATCACCTTGTAGTTGAAGTTGGTTTGAAGTCTGTGTCACCTACAAAACTCTGGTGCGACAATCAGGCTATTTTTTATATTGCATCGAATCTGATGTACCATGAAAGAATCAAACATATTGAGGTTGATTCTCACATTATCTGTAAAAAAACTCATAAAAACTTGATTTCTACTGGTTATGTGAAGGCAAAAAAACAACTACGTGATATATTCATAAAGGTTTTAAATGAAGCTTGGACTGAATATTTTCATAACAAGTTAGGCGTGATTAATATCTATACTCCAGCTTGAGGATAAGTGTTACAGAATTACAACATATTTTTTTCTTTATAATAGTCTACTTATAAACACTTGACTTTCTATGTATAATAGCATAATTATAGACAATATATTTATAGGCTAATTTTAAGCTAGTTAAAGGCCCAAATAAAATATATTTTCTAGAATTTTTAATTTGAGAGATAAACTAAATTTTTATTCAAACTTAGAACATGATAAACATCATTTAATTTGATGTTTGTATCATCAACATCAATATTCACAACTCCTTCATTCACTACTGGATAAGTAGAGTTGTCAGCTATAATTATTACTCCCTCTCCATCATGTTGATGTAGTTTTTAAAAATAGAGAGTTATTTTCATTGACATGTTTTGAACAATCAATAATCTACTATTACTTGTAGTTTTTAAGGTTGAAAAGAGCTTGAGTTATGACTAGTTCAATAACAACGTTGCTCTTAATCGAGTAATTCATTTCTTTCAATTGCAATGTTCAAATTTGGAAAGCTTCACCCTACAATTCTTCTTAATATGCCCAATTACTTCACACTTGTAGCACTTGATAGATTTGCGGTTTGTGAGATACCACCAAAAGATTGTTCAACTCTTGACCCTTTTTTGTTGTTCTTGTTTTCATCTGCTGAATTTTTCATGTATTATTTTCCCTTTGAAAAGAGGACAACATCTGAATCAAAACTCTTTACCATTTGCTTTGACTAAGCCTCTTAGTTCGAAAGTAAATTTTCTAAATCTTATACTAAAAGTTATTTGTCTCATCCCTGGATAGAGGTAACAAAAGGTGTATACTCCTTCAATTCTCAAATGAAAAAATGTTGTAGTCTTGTTTCATTGATCTCCTCGTTTAGGTCTAACTCTAAAATTTCAGTATAAATACTTTTAACTCCTAAGAAATATATAAAAATAGACATACCTCTTTGTGTTAGCATTAACAATTCATTCTCTAACAACTGTAACCTGATTATATTCTTTTGGAAAAATAACCTCTCTAGTGTCTCCCAATATTCTTTTAGTGAAGTGACATCACGTACATGATCAATAAACTCTTTATTGATTGAAGTCTTCAAAACACAAAGAGATTTACCATATTTAATCTTTCGTTTCCTTTGTGGTTTAGCATTTTCTAGAGTATCAGTAGGAATTCCTATATCAGCACTAACAACAAGTTCCCACATATCTTGACCTTGAAGATAGGCCTCCACACACATTCTCTAGTACTTGTAGCTTTTCTCTACAAGTTTTTCAACACGATATTGTGCACCTGAGCTATTTCCTTTATTTACTAACTCTATATTGCATATAAAAGAGCTTCCCCTTCACAACTTTCTATCTCCTCTAATGACAAACAACTTAATAGATAAGAAGAAAGAAAGAACTGCAAAAGTGCCAAAATCTGGCTCTAATACCATAAAATAAATAAAAGGAACAAAGGAAGTTTAGAGAGTAAAAGCATGAGAATAAAATACTAGAGAATGTTTATTGTTGTTCTTAAAAAAGCATAAAAATGCAACAAATACAAACTAAATATATAAGCAATCAATTAAGGCTAAACTCCTAAAACTCTATAACAACTATAAAAAATCCCAACTAAATCTATAACTGACCGTCTATAACCTAACTTCATGTTCGTATAAAATAAGAACTAATTTATTTAACTTGGTAAAATAAAAGAAAATAAATAAGTAAGATGCACTAATTTTTAACAAAATTAAATATGGTAATTGATGTGGGAGGGACTTGAAATGATCATTTTGACTCCCAAAATCTCATACAACATTACAATCAAAAAGGTTAATCACCTTATTAACCCTCTATACTTCAACCACACTCAAAAAATTGAATGCAAACCAAGGTAACTAGAAAAATAAAAAGGAGTTGAAAAGACGTCATACTTACTCGATTTCCTGCCTCAACAAGGTGGTCTAAAGCTCTCTCGCTTGAAGACATTTGAAGAACACTCACTCTCAAATTAACAAATCTAATTTAGAAAGAATAAAGTCAAGAGTTTATAAAGTGAATTATTAAATTGATAAATTGTGTTTTACGAACTAATGGAGAAACATTTATATAGGTTTTAACTTACTAATGGGACTAGAAGTAGGATTACATATCCCTACTTGAAATTAAACTTAACTAGACTATGAAACAATAAATTAAAATATTAAAACAATATATTCTAATCCAAACTTGAATTAATTAATTAAAAAAATACTAATTTACTTGAATAAAACTTCTCTTCCTTTTAATCGAATCTCCATGTGATTTTATCCTCTTTCGGTTTCTAAATTTGTGTAGAAGTCCTCTTGAAATTCACCATGGGGATCATATGTGGAAAATGAAGAAGTAGAGGAATCCTTCTCGGATTCCAACTTGTTGTCTGCATAAGCCAAGCGTGCGGGTGGAAGCTTCCTCCCATGCGCGCGACCTATGTGTGTGTGCGGCTCCCATGCACGCTCGGTTGTTCATGTGTGTGGCTCCCATGCACGCACAACTATCTGCATGTATGGCTCCCATGCGCACGCTGTCCATGTATATGACTGTCCACCTCATGCAGACACTCTTCCATGCGTGCAGTAAAGGCTTCCTCACACGCTCCATCTTCTTTCGAGCGTGTGGATTGTTTATAGGTGCAGGCTGCTTCCCCTACACAAGCGTGCAATCGCGCATGTGTGCAAGGACTGCCAAAAGGCGCGGCCAACCTTGGCAGGTTACCCATGGGTGTGGCAACCTCGAGTCGTGGTGCTCTTTGGTCGTGGCTCCCTTTGGCCATGAGTCCTTAGTCCTTTTCCATCTTGGGCCAAGATTTGGGCATCCACTTCTCTTGTGTTTCTCCAAGCCCAAAAACTATCTCATAGGCTTCAAGTCTGATTCTTTGTCTTGGTCTAAACTTGTTTTAGTAGTTAAGTTGGTTGATTTTTTTAAAACTCGAATTGGATCCATCCATGATAAAAGCTCAAATTTGTCTTAAATCCGAAGCAGGTTCATCAATCTCTTGCACTTTTGGTGCTGAACAAGTTTCTAAGTTGAAACCAATCTGATCCTCTCACCTCCTCTTTTTTCCATGCACACACACACACACACACACATATATATATATATATATATGCGTGTTTTCATCAATAATCATATTCGATGTGTTTTCACTAAAAAACAAATTCTAAATCTATTAGACCTTATCGCGGGATTGAAGCCCAGTTGAGGCGAGGCTTTTGTGGCGGCTGGGTAGACAAGTGACCGGAGTGCGTGCCCAAAGGAATTTCTTTTAGAATATTCTACAAATACATGTATATCACACAACGCATACATATATACCAGGATAAAAGGTGATAAACGCAGTGGGGTAGTCAAATGGCAATATCAGCAGCTAACGCTGCGATATGCGTCGCTTCTCGATTCCCGAAACTTGCTAATATTGGACATGCAAATCGCTTTCAACCCATCAATATTACCCCTTCAACTTTCATTTCTTTTCGCAGATACCCAATTCTTAGAGTCACTTGCGCTGCCATCTCAGATACTGATCAACTTTCACACGGTACAATCACCACCGCCAACAACTGTAAGTTCTCGGATATTGCATTTTGTGGAAATTAATTTCGAACTTCAAGTAATCCTTGGGCATCTAATATTGATGTTGGAGATGGGTTAATTGCATTGTATATCTTAAGAGATTACGACTTCTTTCTTTCTATCTCATCAATTCAGAAATTATTAATATGTTAGTTATTATAGGCGCAGAGACTTTTCTCTTTCCCTTCCTGGGTTTTCTTTTCTCAAATTCAAAGAAGTTGGATGCTTGGTTTTTAATCGTCTTTAGTCTGAAAACAAATAATTTTACTTCACATCATAACTAGCAAAAAGAGCAAGGCTGAGAGACGTCCATGGCAGTTTTACACATCTACTGATACATTAATGTTTATGTTAAGGCTGGTCAGAGTTCTGTAAAAATGTGTCCGGAGAATGGGATGGATATGGTGCAGAATTTTCAAAAGAAGGCAAACCCATTGAACTCCCTGAATCTGTGGTACCCGAGGCTTACAGGGAATGGGAAGTTAAGGTCTTTGATTGGCAGACCCAGTGCCCTACTCTTGCAAATCCCCTGGACTCTACTATGGTTTACAAATCCATTAAACTACTTCCTACTGTTGGATGCGAGGCTGATGCTGCAACTCGTTATAGTATTGATGAGAAGAACATTGGAGGTGTAGATAACATGGTTTCTGCCTTTGCGTATAAATCTAATGGCTCCTATGTGGCTATCTGGCCAGTTGGTAAGAATGATAAAAATAGAATATTGGAACTAGAGCATTGCTTGATCAATCCTCAGGATCGGGAGTCCCGTCTGAGGGTAATTCAGGTTGTCCTGATAGATGGTTCAAAGATGTTGTTGCAGAGTATTAGAGTATTTTCCGAGCAATGGTATGGACCATATGGAAATGGTGACCAGCTTGGTGGATGTGCTATCCGGGATTCCACATTTGCTTCTACAGCTGCCATCAAAGCTTCTGAGGTTGTTGGTCTGTGGCAAGGTCCAAAAGCTGTGGCTAAATTTGATGCTTCTCAATCTGTGCGTTGGCATTTCACCCTCATCTTTTTCTTATTTTTGCCTATTTTCTATTAGAACAGTGTGAACTGATTTATAAAAGATCAATCCTATGATTCATATACCATCACACTATGGCCATTTTCCCTCACATAATTATATTTTAGGGCTCAGAACCTTTCTTTTGATTGCTTGTTCAGATTCTGGGTGCATCGTGTTAGTAATGATTCATTTTTTCTTGTGTTCATGATCATTTCTACAAAATCCTTCTTTGTGGACTCTTTTTCTATAGAATTGCAATATGTATTTTACTTGTATGTATTAGTTTGAACTTTCCACTTTATGCTCGGTAGTTAATTGAAACAGGCTGCAGGATCTTTCTGTGGACTTTACTCCTTATAAGCAAGTTTGGGAGTCATCTTATACAGACCATTGCAGTGGATGAGTTCATTGCATGAGAAAACTGATTTCCTATTATCTTCTCCAATTCATCTTGTTCTAAATGAGATAAATTCATCATTTTCTTGAATCACATTTTCAGGATCAAAGAAAAAGATAAAATGAAAAGAATAGTGCTCCTTATCTTTATAGGCACTTACAAAAAAACACGTGATTATGCCAGTGCAGTTGATAGGATGCATGATCCATGGATTGACTATTTGATTCTTAAGTCATGGAACTTTCTGGTTCTTGGCATTTTCTTTCTCAAGGCAGGGCCAGGATGTCATGTCTGAATCCATGCCATTGTCATCGGCTAAGCCATTAAGACACTGGCTTCATCACAAATCTCTGTGTTTCACTTTTTGTTTAGTGCCTTGTAGTAAATAACAAGGTAGTCCTAAATTACATAGTATTCTCTAGGACCTCATAGTTTTTGTTGCGAACTTGTGTAATGAACTCCAGAATTTCTTTAAAGAAGTTATAGACGGTGGAGTACTGAGATCAGTAAGAGATGATAGCAACCTCATATTGCTTCCGAAGCAACTATGGTGTTCACTGAAACGAAGTAAAGAAGCGGAAACCTGCTGTGAGGTTGGGTGGGGGTTTGATCCTGGATGTGCTGTTACGTCAAAATGCATTTTCTCAAATGACTTGAAGTTGAAAGTAAGTTCAATTTGTTTGATTGTAATTTTTATGTTGAAATCTTCCCCTTTAAAACTTATGATTTAACACCTTAGTGATCATCAGAAATATTTCATGGAACTTCACATGAATTCATGTTTTCTTTTCTTCTTTCTGTATTTCTTCGCACAGCTGATGCATGAAAATTCAAGATCCCGGACATCGGGTGGCTTCTTTCTGTTTTTATTTATATTCCTATTTATTTTCTTCTGTATTTTGTTTTTTTTTTTCTAGGAAATTTCAATTGGACAAGAAACTGCTGGCTCAGAGGATGTATAGTTACTGTTAATTTGCTTGCAGGTTGTACAATGTACAATGAGAGACTATCTAAATGTATATTTTATAATTTAAATAAACTTAACCATAGAGCTGGTTGCCATGTTCTGTAATCACCTTATGCCTCCTTTATGTTTTAGTTCTTTGAGATTGAATACCAACATATGAATGGAGAGACAGATCTATGTTGGGTTTCATGTCTATACAAAAGATTTGAATACAAATATACTAATATATTTTATAATTTAAGTTAAACATAAACAAGCAAGCTGGGAACCTTGAAAATGCTTTTCCAGGTTTTGGGATCCTCTGAAAGAACATAATAATGTGGTGGGAATAATTTATGTTGTTGAAATTAGTATACACAAAACAACAAATTAGAAAAGTCTTAGTCTTCTGTTGGGCAAAAAATGGGAAGTCTTGAATTGCTGCCTACCAAAAGGGTTTTGATTGGTTAGACAAGCAAGCCTCTCAATTTGCCCAAGAGAAAAACCTGAAAGGCAAAAAGGCAGATAACAAAACTTCACATCCTACTGTTCTGAGCAGAGTCTGAAACTTGTAAGACACAGTAGTAGCATCTGTGCTAATTCTTCAAAAGATTGACACAAAAAGCATTCAATAAAAAGACCTCCAATAACTTAGCCACTTCCAACTCCTATCAAAGGTTACAATCACTTTTCTTCAGTCATACAGCAATTAAACATTTATCTGACCAGATTTCATTAAAGATCCTCCTCAAACAGGATCTTCAACTCACAACGTTCCAGAGCTTGGGAAACCAAAACTGTCTCCGACATTTTGGCGTTGATCATTTCACTTAGCCATGCTTCCTGTCAATTTTCATACAAGAATAAGATATTATAGCAACAGAATAGCACCTTGATGATCACAGATAAGAGTTTTCTTTCATTTTGAAATGAACTGACCAATGAATTTATTTACAAACAAATTTCTGTATTTGCAATAAATCATGAAACTTCAAAATTTATGTTGGCACAAGAAATAGTACAAGAGATATTTCAAGATTTTTTTCTCAAGTTTATCTCCATATCCTATAAAATCTGGTAAATTTAGAAAGCACATGATCAATTTCATAGGAATTCATTTTGAAATTAATTCCAAAACTTGGAACAAATTTAGGTTATATTTCAAACAGATAAACTACTCTTATTAAATACACACTTGGTTATATTTAGAACAAATCTAAAAGTTTTGAAAATTCCATTTACAAATCTACATTTTGTTCAACTATGACAATATGTAAATTCTAACTAGAAGATAGAAAAAATCAATCTCATGCGGAATCCAATGCGGAACTGAGACAATATATAAAAACTTTATTGCTTCAGTTCCACATTTTATCATTTACTAAGAATTTCCTCATCTCCTAATTGATCTATGCATGCAGTTGTAAATAAATTCCACAAAAATTCTAATGTAGTTAAAAACATCATTACTAAGAATATCACCATCTCCTAATTGATCTATGCATGCAATTGTAAAAAAAATTCCATAAAAATTCTATTTTAGTTAAAAACATAGGCTGAGTTCAACAAGGAAGTGAAGAAAATTTTATTATAAAATAATGAAAATTAACTTTGTAGAAATTTCAAGTGGAATTGAAAGAACACATTTAGATACAAAATTGGATAAAATTTAAAATGCATTATCTCAATCCACTTGAAATCTCTAAGATATCAACTTTTATCATTTTGGATGAATTTCACCATATCCTAGTCAAATTAAATGAGAAGTTCCAAATAAAGTTCCCTGATTCCAAACAAAGATTAGACATAAAAATATAAATTTGCAAGTGACTTTACATTTTCTTCTTTGTGGAATTTAATTTCTTTCCTTTTTTTTTTTGAAAGAGTTCAGTTCATTTGTTTTCAAGAGTCTTATGATGGTCTTCCATGTAAATCAATTGCATGATTATGAATATAAAAGCATTTATCTTTTATGTCGAAAAAGCTAGTTCAGATGGTATTTCCTTTTTTATTCCAGGCTCTACAATACAGTATTTGTATCTCGCCTCATCACCTTTACTTAGATGAAAACGAAAAAAAAAAAGAAATTTTCAAAAGGCCGCTGTAAAAACCTGTACATGATGTGCATAATGGTAAGCTAATGAGAGCCAGGTGCATCTCTCATGCTCATATTCAGGCTGTTTCTCATTGTTCGTCTACCAATTCCAGCATTGCCTTTTTGCATCATGGCAACAAATTCACCATAGTCAATCCTTCCATCCTACAAAAACAGAAGCTTCGTCAACAAGCAAACTCCATTACGAGGAAGCAGAACAGACCTCACCCTGAACTGTAAAAGATAACAAACTGAAATCCTCTTCCCAGTTTCTTCCCATTTGAGAGTAGGATTTCCCTCACCATTCAAATCTCACATA